CCTCCCTTCTCAGCAGTGAGGAGATCCAGGGCCCTGCGGTTTTGCAGAGCCACAGCCGCCAGTGAGTCTATCTGCCTTTGTAAGGATTCAATGGAGTCACTTATGAGAGCTATGTCTTCAGAGAATTCTGTGGGGAGTTTGTGATAGAAGTGTACTGAGGAAGAAATCCCTCCGACTCTGGTTCCCATGGCTGTTAGGACCCCTGTCCCCACAAGAAGGGGAACAAGAGCTGCTCTCTCTTGCCTGGAATGAGGGAAGGCCGGGGCGAGAGATGATTCTAGCTTGCCTTCAGTTCTAACAGAGAGATTTGGTGTCAGGAAGACATAGAGACAGGGGGCTCGTTCAAGGTTCTTGGGGACACATGTATAGGCTGTTGTCCCACAGAGGATGAAGATCCCCGGGGGAGGGCAAAAATTTGCAGGGGGAAGCGAGGTATTAGAGGTACACAGTATGGTTGTTAATTTTTGGGTATGGTTGATGAGGCAAGTCATGTCTTTGGTGCCAAAGAGGGATATATTATACAGTGTGCGTTGAAGCCTGCCTGGGGCGAAAGTAAGGTTGTTTATGAGCGTGTTAGGGAGGGGGGTTGCAGAAACCAGAGTTTGGGTCAGGGACAGGCATATCCAGCACGAGGTCGAGAAGGAGGGGTTCAGGTTGGAGAGGAGGTGGAAGGTGGTGTTTATTAGGGAAGGCAGAGGGGAAGGTTTTGCTGTGGGGCGGGAGAGAACATTCTGTATAGCAGGTAGAACAGGACGAGGATTTATGAACGTTTTGACAAAAAGAATAATGCCTCCCGGGTCGTGCCCTTGACCGTCGATCCTGCTTCCTGCTGGCTGAGCCTGGTTCTAGCAGGGGTTACCTGGGTCTTTAATAGTAAAGCTGACAGGGTTACAATTGTCTGTATTACAGCCAGGGGGTGCTCTAAGATTGACTAATGGGCTAGTCAGGGACCCAGAATGGTAATGGGGGCATTGCCAGTAGGGACAATAAAATTCCCCTACATTGTCACAGTCCCCTCGCTGCCTATATTCCATGCAGAGATACTTGTGATTAGTGGCATATGTTTGGAACCACCCTCCACAGCTCGACCACCCTGGTGCCATAGCAGCGAAGGCATCAAAATATAGGGTGACTCGCGATGACTTACCATCCCAGGTGGTCGAGTTGATAACCCCTTTGTCCCCCCAGGTTCGTTTTACCTGAAAGGACCAGAAGTCCTTCGGGGTGTTATGGCAGGGGCTTCGGGAAGGTGGAGAGCAGGATTGCGAGTGCAGCGCAGGGTAAGAGGCCCGGTAGGCGTGGCCCTCCATCCTGTTGGGGGGCCATCGTAGGGGGAGGGAGCCGAGCTGGGTTTCTTGAGGCGGGAACTGTGAATCCAGGACGTGATGCCGAGGACCTTAACCGCCGAAAGTGTGGTTAAGATGACAGTGTATGGGCCCTCCCACCGGGGAGTTAGTGGTTTGGGGGAGAGAGATTTGATTAGTACCTGGTCTCCCGGGGCGAGGGAGACCGGGGCCTGATCTCCCGGGGTAGGTTCGGGGAGGGCAGAGTTGGCATGTTCCCTAAGGAGGTCTCTTAGTAGAGAGAGATAGGGAAGATAGGAGGCCAGTGGAGATGTAGATGGAGGCGGGGATGAGGAGAGCAGGAAGGGGCGTCCATACAAGAGTTCAAAGGGGCTGAGGTGTGAGGGTCCCCTTGGGGAGGCTCTTAGTCTGGCTAGGGATAGTGGGAGGAGCTTGGGCCACGAGAGGCGAAGCTCGAGGCTAAGTTTAGTTAACTGTTCCTTTATTAGGCCATTAGCCCTTTCTACCTTACCCGATGACTGAGGGTGGTAGGCAGAGTGAAGTTTCCAGGAGATTCCTAGAGAGGAAGAAAAGGCCTCCGTGACCTTAGAGATGAAAGCAGGTCCGTTATCCGATTGGAGGGACGTAGGGAGGCCAAAACGAGGAATAATGTCCCTGATGAGGTGGCTGGACACCACTTCCGCTGTCTCTGAGGGCGAGGGGAAAGCCTCAATCCATCCTGAAAAAGTATCAACCATGGTCAGAAGGTATTTTAGATTTTTGTGTCTAGGCATGTGTGTGAAGTCAACCTGCCAGTCTTGTCCAGGCAGGTGCCCTCGCATTTGGTGAAGCGTTCGCCGGACGTGGCAGGCTCCCTGGCTGTTGGTGTGGGAACAGACTGGGCAGGAGGCGTGGACCTCATCGATGGTACTGCGTAGCCCTGAGGGATGAAAAATAGGGGAGAGAAAACGGTGAAGGGCCGCCGGGCCTATGTGGAGGGAGTTACGGATATCTGAGATTATCTGGTGTTTTTGCGACCCTGGGAGGACTAAGAGCCCATTATGAAACGCCCAGCCGTCCCTGATCTGGATGTCAGGGGAGTCTTGATGGGTATTAAGCTCGCTTTTAGAATATTGGGGTTTGTATGTGCGTGAGAGAAAGCAGACATGCTGGACGGGTTGGGGAGAGGCTGTCGTTATAAATGACCTGGCAGCGCGATCGGCCATGGCATTTCCTATGGCTGCCGGAGTATTGGGTGGCTGGTGGCCTCTGCAGTGGACGATGGCTATTTTGGAAGGCAATTGGACAGCCTCCAGAAGTTTGGCAATTAACTGGCCGTTTAAAACTGGGGTGCCTTTGGTGGTTAGGAATCCCCTTTCCTTCCATGTCATACAGTGGGAATGGGCTATAAGGAAGGAATACTTGGAATCTGTGTATATGTTGACTTCCTTTCCTTTGGCCCATGTCAGAGCTCTGGTCAGAGATACCAACTCTGGTTGTTGGGAGGTAGTTCCTGGAGGGAGGGGTCCCGCCTCTAAGACAGTTCTGTCACAGACTATGGCATAGGCCACCCGTCTGATCCCGGAAGGGTCTATGGTTGAGCTGCCATCAACAAATAGGGTGTGCTGTGGATTTGGTAAGGGATGATCTGTGAGGTCAGCCCTGGGGGAGCGACAGGCCTTGAGGACTTCTGAACAGGAATGAAAAGGTCCCTCCTCTCCTAGAGTAGGGAGGAGGGTTGCAGGGTTAAAAGCAGGACAACTAGCGAGAGTAATAGTTGGGTTTTCTAAGAAGAGGAGATGGAAGAGTTGGACCCGAGAGGGTCCAAGGTGTGCCAAGGCCTGGTGTGATAGGCGATCCGAGAGGCGACGTGGAGAGAAGACTTTTAGGGGTTGGTGAAGGTTAATTTTAGAGCCTCAGTGGCCAGCTCGGCGGCCGCAGCCAGGGCATGGAGGCATGGCTGCCATCCTCTGACCGTGAGGTCGATCTGCTTGGAAAGGTAGGCTATTGGAAACAGGGTCTTTCCCACCGGCTGGGTCAGGACTCCTACCGCCAGATGTTGCCTTTCATCAGTGTATAAGTAAAAATGGCGGTTAGGGTTAGGTAGTGCCAGAGCCGGGGCCTCAATGAGGGTTTTTAGGAGTTTATTGAAGGCCCTTTTTACTTCCTCCAGAGAGGTAAGTGGGCCTACTGGTGTCTCTTTGGCTGCTTGGTACAGCGGTTTGGCTAGGAGGGAAAAGTTAGGGATCCATTGTCTGAAGAATCCCGCCAGGCCAAAGAAGGACTGTATTTCTGTGGCCGTAGTGGGCGGGAGAAGCCCCTTGAGGGCCTGGATTCTGTCTGGAGTAATGGCCCGCTGGGTGGGAGTAATTGACAGTCCCAGGTACGTGACCGAGGAGGAAGCAATTTGGGCCTTCTTGATGGAGACCCGTTTCCCTTTAGTAAAAAGAAAGTTAAGAAGGGTAGTAGTATCTTTGAGACATTGGTCACGGGAAGGTGAGCACAGAAGATCATCTACATATTGTAGGAGAGTTGAGGGTCTCAGTTGGCATTCTCGGAGGTCTTTTGCTAGAGCCTGGCCAAAGAGGTGGGGACTGTCTCTAAATCCCTGGGGTAGGACTGTCCAGGTCAGTTGCTGGGCCGAGTTGGTAAGGGGGTCCTCCCAGGTAAAGCAAATAAAAAATAGGAGTCCGGGTGTAGGGGGATAGTGAAGAAGGCGTCCTTGAGGTCAAGGACCGAGAAATGGGTAGTAGAGGGAGGTATATGTGAGAGGAGGGTATAGGGGTTGGGGATGACTGGAGAGGTAGGGATTACAGCCGAATTGATTATGCGGAGGTCCTGAACCAGTCTATACTGCCCGTTGGGTTTTTTAACTGGGAGGATGGGGGAGTTACAGGGGGAGTTGATGGGAATGAGGAGCCCCTGGGTTTTTAGCTTGGTGATTATGGGGCTAAGTCCCATCCGGTGAGTACAAGAGATGGGGAACTGGGGGCGGTTAGGATAGGAATGAGGAATTTTCAGTTTTACAAGGGCTGGTGTATGATGCCTGGCCACAGAGGGAGTTTCAATATTCCAGACCCCAGGGTTTACTTCGGGTAGAAGAGCGTGTGAAGGAGGGGAGGGGGCGTTGGACATATAGTCCAGGAGAACAGCTATGAGGGGGTGGTCCGAGGAGGAGAAGGTTATGGATGCGTGGAGTTTAGTTAAAATATCTCGCCCCAGTAGGGGGACAGGGCAAGTTGGGATAATGAGGAAGGAGTGTGAAAAAAGGCGGTCTTGGAACTGGCAGGCTAAGGGAGTTGTTTGCCGGGGGGGTGAGGGGGACCCATCTATCCCCGTAACTGAGATCTGGGAAGGAATACTAAGGCCCGAATGAGAGGGGAGGACCGAGTAGGTAGCCCCCGTGTCTACCAAAAAGGAGAGCTGCTCCTGTCGGGCAGCTTCTGCCATCTCCTCCCGGGCATTAAAGACTTTAAAGGCCATTTTTACCAGGTCCTGTATGGGGGTTTCAGGGCCCTCCTCAACCTTTTTGAGTTTCTTTCTGTGATCGGGAGTAGATTGGGAAATAAAGTGTGAGGCCAGGACAGTAGCCCCGTTGGGGGAGCTAGGGTTGGGGAG